AAACCATTTCAGGTGACTACCTCTTGAAGCTCATGGAGAGAATGCCAAGAGTGTGCAAAGCAGTAATCAGAGCAAAGGGTGGCTATTTTGAAGAAACTAGAATATAAAACATGTTTTCAGTTATTTCACCTTTTTTTGTTAAGTACATAACTCCACATGTGTTCATTCATAGTTTTGATGCCTTCAGTGAGAATCTACAATGTAAATAGTCATGAAAATAAAGAAAACGCATTGAATGAGAAGGTGTGTCCAAACTTTTGGCCTGTACTGTATATTAATAAAGTCTTTGACTCTAGATAAAATGGTGATGTTACTCTCTTTGTTGACCATCCTCAGGTATTTTCACTGCTCCAGTCAGAGGAATCTATTACTTCAGCTTCTCCGGACATCACCAATCCACTAGAACAATGGCGCTACATCTGATGAAGAATGGAGTGCACATGGTGTCTGTGTGGAACCATGCGGCTGGAAACCGCTATGAGACAGCAACCAATGGCATGACTCTACAGCTTGAAGTGGGAGACCAGGTGTACATGAGACTCTGGGTACACACCTGGATTTTTGACAATGATGTGAAGCTCAGCACCTTCATTGGTCATTTGTTGTTCTCTCTGTGAGATCAATAAAGTTCAAAGTAGGCCTTAAGGAGAGGTCAGCCACATGACTCATATATTATTGTTGCAGGTGGTGGTAATGATAAAGATACAAATCAAATAATCAATAGCATGGGATGAACAGTTACTCAAAATATTCATGTGTGTTTAAAGCTTCATTGATCAGCTTTAAGCCTCTAATAGGCAGCAGCCACTCTGTCATCTTCTCTGTTAGCAACTTTAAAAAATGTGACAATGAAAATATAATGCATGTTAAGAGGAATCCCTGTCATAATTGTGTCCATTGAAAACTGTATATCCATTGATATGAATCATTAAATCATTAAAATCACTCATGAAATGCAAACAGTCATGTCCTCTTCATTATCATTTTGATATGAGCTACAATCATGACATACCGTAAGTGTTGCTCAAATGCAAAACCACAGTTTGTATTTTCACTTGTTTATTCCGAAACAATTAAGTTGACATTTTGAGAAGAACACTTATTTGCCTTCTAAGATGGGAGCACAAACAGACATACCAACAAAATAACCTAATTGGCCGAGCCCTCATTTGTCACCTGAGGTAGCAGCACAAACAAAATGCGCCAAATCAAAACACAGTCTTCATCTTGCCAACATGGTGAGTCTGATCCTGAACAAGCCCCCTCTTGTTACAGCCTGAATCAAAGGCTGTGACACAAAGGGAGACCAGACGACTACAGAAAAAGGTAATAGAATTTTTTACTCTACAAAAGCAGAAATGAATAAAACAACACCAAAGTAACCAAAGACTGTTGTCAGGCAGCCTGGAGAGAGGTGATCTCCCCCAGAGAGAAGGAGGGCCTGATGTAAGAGAACACACTGGGCCCAGGTGTGGCTCATTCAGATGATGACCCTCCTTTCAGCTCCAGAACAGCACACAGGAAAAGGGACACTTAGGCCTTGTTTGGTTTGCCAACCCAAATTTTTTTTTTTTTTTTTTGGCACATCCAGATTTTATCCAGATTTATGTCAGGAAAGAGGTGGTTTGAAACAATTTCTACAGATGTGTCTCAGTCCAGATGCTCTGGCCGCTCAAATGGGATTTCAGAGTGTCACTTTGAACAACAACATCAAATCTAGAGTGCGGGAAGAGCTGAACAGATCCGTGCTGCTACTAGCAGAGCAATAAAAAAAAAAAAAAAAAAAGGTTGTAGTGCAAAATGACGGACCTTCATCTCATCATCACCAACACCTACATTACTATGTAGTTACTGATGCCTATGTTGTAACCATAGCAGCCCATGCAGAAAGGTTTTTCATGTATGAACACACATATCAGATCTCATACCTGTAAATAACAGAGTGGACAGTCTAGCTTCAAGATCTGATTCAAGAAAAACAAATCTGATTTGCCTGCAGTTTGAACATAGCCTTTGTGCACGGGGGGAGGATGGTCATACTCCAAAGGTAATAGCTGTCAGTATGGTCAATGTTTAATTGTACTGATGTACTTAGTATTTTCATGGGAACTGCTGACAATAAGGACATACAGAAATATTAAGCCTGCCTTGTCTTTTAAGTGAAGAAAAACATTGAAAATTGTCGATATTGTAGATTGTAGATTGTGGCTATGGCAGTCGCCAAAGCAAAAACCCAGGTGTGGGAGGAGTTCAGGGAGGCTGTGAAAAGAATTCTCGATTGGCCTTAAAGAAGTTCTGCAAACCATGAGATGACTCAGTAAAGCAAACCAGGGGTTGTCTGTGTGTTCAACAGGGAAGGTGAACTGCTCACCTGGACTAGGGATATTGTCGAGAGGTGGAAAGAGCATTTTGAGGAACTCCTGAACCCAAGCAACACGTCCTCTGCGGAGGAGGTAGAGTCTGAAGACTCGGAGGAAGCCTCACCTGTTTCCCTGGCAGAGGTTGCTGAGGTAGTCAAAAAGATCCTCAGAGGTGGGGTGCCAGGTGTGAATGAGATTTGTCTTGAGATGCGGAGGGCTCTGGACATTGCTAGGCTGTCTTGACTGACACACCTTTTCAGTGTTGCGTAGAAGTCAGGTACAGTGCCAATGCAGACTGGGCTGGTGGTTCCCATTTTAAAAAAGGGAACCAAAGGGTGTGCTCCAATTATCAGGCTGTCACACTGCTCAGCCCCCCTGGGACAGTTCATGCCAGGGTGCTAGAGAGGAGACTCTGACTGATTGTCAAACCTCAGATTCGGGAGGAGCAATGCTGATTCTGTCCTGGCCATGGAACAATGAAACAGCTCTTTATTCTGTCTTGAAAGGCTGCCGGACGGGTCATGGGAGTTTTGTGGACTTGGAGAAGGCTTACGACCACATCCCCCAGGGAGTCCTGTGGGAGATACTGCAGGAACCTGAAGTATTGGGGTCATTGCTACGAGATATCTGGTCTTTGTATGAGCAAAGTGAGAGCTGTGTCTGCATACTCAGAACAAAGTCTCAGCACAAAACAGTTTCATTGGGTGTCGGCCTCCACCAGGGTTGTCCTTTGTCTTGATTCTGTTTGCGATTTCGACGGACAGGATCTCAAAGTGCAGCCATGAGGATGAGAGTGTGAGTGGAGACCTCAGCATTGCATCTCTGCTGTTTGCAGATGATGTGGTTCTGTTGGCTTCATCAGACCGTGACCTCCAGCACCCAGTGGGGGAGTTTGCAGCCGAGTGTGAAATGGTTGGGATGAGAGTCAATACCTCCAAATCTAAGGCCACAGTTCTCTGCTGGAAAACAAAATTAGTTTCCCCCATAGGGTTGTTGGGCTCAGCCTCGGAGATAGGTCATGGAGCTCAGATATCCTGAGGGAACTCAGAGTAGAGCTGCTGCTCTTTCGTATCAAAAGGAACCACTTGAGGTGGTTTGGGCTTTTGATAAGGATGCCTCCTGGACGCCTCCTGTTAGAGGTTTTCTGGGCACGTCTCACAGGCAGGAGGCCCTAAGGTAGACCTGGAACACACTGGAGGGATTATATTTGTCATCTGGCCTGGAACCCGTTGGGATCCCCCAGGAGGAGCTAGAAGACATTGCTGGGAAGAGGGACATCTAGAATACATTGCTCAGCTTGCTGCATCCACAACCTGGCTCTGGATAAGTGGATGAAAATGGATGAAATCTATGGTTTTGTTGACCAAGGGTGATAAAACAATAACCAACAACACCTTTGGCCTGCTACTTACTTATCATTGATAAGAGTTTGTTTTTTTGTCCTGAAGCAGAAGAAAACACCCTTTGCCTTTCTGATAAATTCAAGGTTATTTCCTTCATCGTATGGTATATAAAGCATCGTGAGGAGAGCTGATCAAGACAGACAGAAGTGAAAGATGAAGACCTCCGTGGCTGTGTTGACTTTATCCCTCCTCTACCTTGGCATGGCTGAGGTGCAGCAGCTGGATCACCGAGCAGAAGAGGGCAATAGCACAGAGATTCCTACTATCAAGCCAGCTTGTCTGTGTGCTGGTGACGTAACAGGGAGCCAGAAAAACTCTTGCCAACTTGTTGTCATGTTAAGAGAGCTGGAGGCCAAACTGAAAAACACTGAGAAACACTTAGAGGATCTGAGGGGAGAGGTCCAAGGTGAGAACATACAGTAACTAAACTATAGGTTTTAAGTATGTCTTGGGGTATGTATCATTTCCCATGTTTTCAGTGTGGTTCAGGTTTAGTTGACTTTAAATGCAAATGGGAAAAGTATGCTTTAAAAAAACAGACAAAAACAAAACTTTATAATAACTCTTTGATCCCATGTAGCCTCTCAAGGTAAGCGGGTGGCATTTGGAGCATCTATCAGCAGTGTTGGAACTATTGGACCTTTTAATGTTGAGATCACACTGACCTACAAGAATGTGTTCACAAACACAGGCTCATACAACCCTGCAACAGGTAAAGTTACCATAATGATGTGTATTCATACATGAATGGATTAATTTGGTAAATAAATACTGTCTGGATACTACTCAAACAGTTGGAACTTTCTTTGTTGACCATCCTCAGGTATTTTCACTGCTCCAGTCAGAGGAATCTATTACTTCAGCTTCTCTGGACATAATGTATCATCTAGACCAATGGGGTTGCGCCTGATGAAAAATGGAGTGCAAATGGTTACTGTGTACAACCATGTGGCTGGAAACCGCTATGAGACAGCAACCAATGGCATGACTCTACAGCTTGAAGTGGGAGACCAGGTGTACATGAGACTCCGGGCAAACACCTGGATTTTTGACAATGACGTGAAGCTCAGCACCTTTATTGGTCATTTGTTGTTCTCTCTGTGAGATCAATAAAGTTCAAAGTAGGCCTTAAGGAGAGGTCAGCCACATGACTCATATAATACAGGTGGTGGTAATGTTACAATATGAAATGGAGAGTCAAATCAAATAATCAATAACATGGGATGAACAATATTCAGGGGACAGTTACTCATTTTTTGTGTGTGTTTAAAGCTTAATTGATCAGTTTTAGGCCTCTAATAGGCAGCAGCCACTCTGTCATCTTCTCTGTTAGCTGTTTGCTGCCAGGCAGATAGTGTGGAGTGGGTTTATCTTTATTGCTGGAAGTGTTAATGATCGTAGCTCAGAAAACTTTAAAAAATGTAACAATGACAAAATAATGTATGTTAAGAGGAATCCCTGTCATATCTGTGTTTACTGAAAACTGTATATTCATTGATATGTTTGCCTTTGTAATGTGTTTTATTAATAAAGCTACTCTGACTCCAGCCTGACAAACACTGTCATCATTACAAAAATGCAAACAGGCATTTCCTTTTCATTCTCATTTGATATGAGCTGAAATCATGGCATGCTGTAAGTGCAATGCAAATGCAAAACCACACATCGCATTTTCACTTATTTATTCCTAAATAATTAGTTTGACATTTTGAGAAATGCACTTATTTGTCTCCTTACTTGGGTGACAAGGTTGTGTGTTGAGTACAGATCTAGAGCTAGAAGTGATTAGCTTAGCTTAAAGACTGGGAAAAGGGGAAACAGTTAGCGCCGCTTAGCCCAAAGTCCAAAGGTAACACAAGTACAAGAAGTAGTTACAGCACTTGACTCCTTGTAAATCTAAACCTTGTCATTTTTACATTTCTGTTTGAGAACTAATTAAGCACAGGAGATACAACCTGTTCATCTTTGCGTTTTATAGATGCTAGTGGGCTAATCAGTGAGAATGATGCAAAGTAAAGAACAGTGCCTGTGTTAATTGTATTGAAGTCACTCAGTGTAACAGTGTGGCTCATTGATGGTTTTCAAATAGTGTTTGGACAACGATGGTTGTCTGTTGCACAGAGGAATAAAAGACAATAGTTGTCAATAGATTCAGTTCATTGCTGATGTCAGTCGCCTCATGGGGATTGCTCACAATAACAAAAATATAAAGTTTTGCAGCTTACCTTATCTTTTAAGTGAACAAAAGAAGACTGTTAATACATATCTATGGGCTTGTTGACCAAGGGTGATAAAACAATAATCCAAAACATGCCAGATACTTACCTATCATATTCTTGATAAGACTTCTTTTGTTCCGGTCCATCACAACAGAAAAAACAGCCTTTGTTTTCTGCTGAATTCAAGGTTATTTCCTTCATCGTATGGTATATAAAGCATCGTGAGGAGAGCTGATCAAGACAGACAGAAGTGAAAGATGAAGACCTCCGTGGCTGTGTTGACTTTATCCCTCCTCTACCTTGGCATGGCTGAGGTGCAGCAGCGGGATCACCGAGCAGAAGAGGGCAATAGCACAGAGATTCCTACTATCAAGCCAGCTTGTCTGTGTGCTGGTGACGTAACAGGGAGCCAGAAAAACTCTTGCCAACTTGTTGTCATGTTAAGAGAGCTGGAGGCCAAACTGAAAAACACTGAGAAACACTTAGAGGATCTGAGGGGAGAGGTCCAAGGTGAGAACATACAGTAACTAAACTATAGGTTTTAAGTATGTCTTGGGGTATGTATCATTTCCCATGTTTTCAGTGTGGTTCAGGTTTAGTTGACTTTAAATGCAAATGGGAAAAGTATGCTTTAAAAAAAACAGACAAAAAAACTTTATAATAACTCTTCGATTTCATGTAGCCTGTCGAGGTAAGGTGGCATTTGGAGCAACTATCGGCAATGTTGGAAATGTTGGACCTTTTAATGTTGCAACCACAGTGACCTACAAGAATGTGTTCGCAAACACAGGCTCATACAACCCTGCAACAGGTAAAGTTACCATAATGATGTGCATTCGCACATGAATGGATTAATTTGGTAAATAAATACTGTCTGGATACAACAGAAATCAGATGTAACTCTCTTTGTTGATCATCCTCAGGTATTTTCACTGCTCCAGTCAGAGGAATCTATTACTTCAGCTTCTCCGGACATCACCAATCCACTAGAACAATGGCGCTGCAACTGATGAAGAATGGAGTACACATGGTGTCTGTGTGGAACCATGCGGCTGGAAACCGCCACGAGACAGTAACCAATGGCATGACTCTACAGCTTGAAGTGGGAGACCAAGTGTACATGAGACTCCAGGAAAACACCTGGATTTATGACAAAAGTAATAACCACAGCACCTTCAATGGTCATTTGTTATTCCCTCTGTGAGATCAATAAAGTTCAAAGTAGGCCTTAAGGAGAGGTCAGCCACATGACTCAGACCATGGCTGTGTTAATACAGGTGGTGGTAATGTTACAATATGAAATGGAGAGTCAAATCAAATAATCAATAACATGGGATGAACAATATTCAGGGTGACAATTACTCATTTTTTTGTGTGTGTTTAAAGCTTCATTGATCAGTTTTAGGCCTCTAATAGGCAGCAGCCACTCTGTCATCTTCTCTGTTAGCTGTTTGCTGCCGGGCAGATAGTGTGGGGTGGGTTTATCTTTATTGCTGGAAGTGTTAATGATCGTAGCTCAGAAAACTTTAAAAAATGTAACAATGACAAAATAATGCATGTTAAGAGGAATCCCTGTCATATCTGTGTTTACTGAAAACTGTATATTCATTGATATGTTTGCCTTTGTAATGTGTTTTAATAATAAAGCTACTCTGACTCCAGCCTGACAAAATGCTGCTTTCATTAAAAACATGAAAACTGCAATTTTATTTTCATTTCATATGAGCTAAAATCATGACACAATTGTGATTCAAAGGCAAAAACCACAGTTTGCATTTTAACTGATTTACTCTTGAGCTTTGACAAAAAAAAAGAAAAAGGGAAAAAAGCTAGTTTGGCACAATGTCTGAAATAATCTGAAATAATATGGTTAGAATTCAGTTCAATTCAATTTTATTTCTAAAGCCCAATATTAAATATTAATATAAACCAAAAAATTAACTCATTGTTTTAAGGACAGGGGTGTTACAGCTGTATGTGTTCTGTGCTGCTGTCCCTTTTCCCTCCATTGTACATCTGCCCAGGTGTACTGCATTACTTAATGACCTCCTGGTATGGAGGAGGTGCTTAAGAGCTCCTGTGCCAGCAGCAGAGGAGAGAGGCCTCTGGTCCTGCTGCTGTTAATAAATCCCATGGATCTAAGTCTTTTAAGGTGTCTTACATGGTTATTTTTGGTCAGTGGTGGCGTTCTGTTCGTCCCATAGGGCCACCAAAGGGTGGGGCGTAACAATGCTCATATTCTTTTTTAGTGGGACTGACTCAAAGTCGCCCAGTGCGACAGTGTGTTGTATAGTACCAAGAGAACTGGACCCAAAAGCTTGACTCGCACAGCTGTTCAGTTTAAAGTGGATTTATTTTCAATAAGGCAAGAAGAGGTGTCTTGGGTTGATCCAGGGCACTCAGGGAAACAGGGCGGAGCAGAGCTGGAAACAGGCAGGCAAACAGGTGACCGGTGAGTGTGGATCTAAGGCACAGAAAAACACAGTTCAAGCAAAAAGTTTGTTAGCATCACAAGGTAGACTGAACGATCTGGCAGAGAGTGGACTGCAGAGCCTGCTTATTTGTACTGCTGGGGTTGATTAGTGGATGGCTTTCAGGTGAGCAGGCAGATTGGCAGCAGGACTGATGAGAGCCACACACAGACACAGAGAGAGGCAAACAGGGAACCACAAGAAACAAAGAGGAGGGGGAAAAAAGCTGACACATGAGGAATGAAGGACAGGCACAGACTATGCCCTATTGCATAGAGGAGTAAATGACATCAGGCTCTGGCTGCAGAGACATTAGATATGAGTAGTATTAATTAATTTTTGATGTACATCAATCAGCCAAAACATTAAAACCACCTACAGGTGAAGTGAATAATATTAATAATTTTATTACAATGCAATGTTCTGCTGGGAAAACTTAGATCCTGGCATTCATGTGGTTGTCATCTGACGCACTCCACCCACCCAAACACTGTGTCAGACCAAGTGCACCCATCATGGTAGCAGCACTCCTCAATGGCAGTGGTTCACTAGCAGGACAACGCGCCGTGCCACACCACAAAAACTGCTCAGGAATGACCCGAGGAACGTGACAAAGAGCTCAAGACTTTGATCTTGGGTTCATCCCAATATCCCTCCTCGAGTCCTCTATCCTCGATCACTTGACCCAGAAATCAGTTGAGACTCGCCATCTTGTAGGACATCTCAATTTGTCAAATTCGCTCTGAGGAGTCAAGGAGTCAGTAGCCCCTTTTACACTGCCAGATTTTTAACGGCAAGTTGCAAGCGTTTAGACACACAGACCCAGATTGGCGAGTCGATCCGAGGTGCCCAATTTTCCACCTCATAGGGTAGACATATTGGCAGAACCTTTTTGGTTTAAAAAGAACAAGGCAGCCTTCCGCCACGGGAGGAGCTGTTGATGACTTGTGAGAGGAGCTGTTGATGACGCCGCACATGCGACCCACTGGCGGTAGATCAACAGGAAACAGCTGATAGCAGGAATGAGCAGCTAGTACTGATAGCAAGAGGGAAATGCAAACCTGACAGACACTGTAAAGATGAGCAACTGGGGAGACAAGGAATTGCGCTCCGTCCTTGCCCTCACAAATGAAGAGGCCATTACCTGTCAGATGACGGGAACGGTGAAGGACGGGCCAACTTATGAGAGAATCGCCTAAGGACTGACCAGCCGTGGCTTCCCCTGGAGCAAGGTGCAAGTCATTAGTCATACGTCACAGTTTACGTCACACGCTGAGCTGCACGTTTTGTTACTTGCTCACGCCCCCCCTAATTTCCTGAAAAAGGCACATTCTGTATAAACAAACGTAGGTAGGCGCCATTTTGCTGCACTCCCCGATTTTGTTTTTATACTGCCAATGCTGAAAGAAGACTG